CCTAAGTACTTGGGTAGAGTTCAGCTGGTGATGCCCAAGGTGCCTTTTCTACCACAATCCCACCCACAGTAACAGAGACTGCCTCTCAACAAAGAAGGGTGCTTGAAAACAGGCAAATGCAAAACGATAGCTGTTGCTCTCCCACAGCTGCTTATTAGCAAAGACCAGGAAGTTTTCTGCACTTTAATGGTACTTTGTTGAGCAGCTACTGTGTGCTGCATACTGTTTTAGATGTCAGCGAAGCAGCTCCACAAAGGGTGCCTTTGTGGAGTTTATTCTCAGGAGGACACAAACAATAGGTGAATAAAAGCTGTCAGAACACATAGTGCGGTGGACTATGAACACAGCAAATTATTCTCAGGATATGAGTCTTGCACAATCATTACATCCAGGTTAAAAGTGTCCACAAATGTTGCCAGGTGCTTTTGTTCTCACAAGAGGGATGAAACAGTTGAGGTAATAACTGCCCTTTGACCCAAAAAATAGCAGGTTGAAACCAGGTTTTGCTTGGTGTCAGTTTTTACATCATTTGCTCCGGGAAGGCGGGCATTCAGCTCTGGGTTAAAGGTCTTTTGTATTGCACCTGTGCCTGGCCCATTATCATATCCGTATGAGACCAGCGGTAGAGCTGATGCCTACCAACACGTATCTAACACGAAGATCCTCACTGATATTCAATAGTTGCTGGAAAAATGAACACCAGGATTGGATGCCTGATCTTGTTTTTTGCAACTCTTGTTTTTTGTTTCTTTTTGTTTGTTTGTTTTTCGAGACAGGGTTTCACTGTTTTTAGCTATGGCTGTCCTGGAACTCACTTTGTAGACCAGGCTGGATTTGAACTCACAGAGATCTCCCTGCCTCTGTCTCCCCAGTGCTGGGATTAGAGGCGTGCACCACCACAGCCAGGCTTCTTGTTTTCTTTTAGGTCTTTAGACAGCTCTTTCACATAAGACCCTGTTTGGTTTAGGAACAGGTAGTTAATTGCTCAGCTAGAATATGACTGGCTTCAGAAACACAGGAGCAGGACTCTTTCTCCATGGCTGAACCTGGGTCTCTCTGATAAAACTGAAGAAGCAGAGCCCATAGGCCCAATATCCAGTGCTCTCAGAAGTGACTCCTGCTGATTGGGCACGTGGATGTGCATGGTTCAGAGCTACAATACAAACCAACCTCATCTAATACCTAATCAGAAAGAGGCACACACAATGGAGCCAGGGACCGTACAAACAGCTCCTGGTGTGTCCAAGCAGCAGACAGCTTACCTCTCATCCCTTCTGCCACCAACACTGGGTGCATGGAAATGCAAAATCGTTGGGCTCTGTGGTATTCAATGCTGTCTGCCCAGGCAGGTCCCCAGAAAACAGTACTCCTTTTCAGGATAGTAATTATTAGGGGCCTTACAAAATGGCTCAACCTCAAATTTGATTTATCTGTTGCCCTAGCAAGCAAAGCCCAGGCTTGGATGGGCATGAGGGAGGCAGACCAAGGCTGGGGGATACAGCAAGGTGCTTGAGCTTGGGATGCACAAAAGCCAAGAGGCTGGTTCTCTTGTTGGGATAGGTGGGACCACAAATTCTCCAGCCAGCCTGGCAAAAAGAGCCAAAACTGCAGCCTGTGCGGCAGCATCCCCCCCTGCCGTTTGCAATTGATGATACCAGTTCTTATTTATAAACAGAATCAGAGTAGATGGAGTTGGAGGAAGGCAAACTTCATTTTTAGTTTTATTACTGAATATAGTGGGTTTTCTGTTTTGTTTTTTTTATTTTTTTAAAGATTCTATTTATTATGTCTACAACATTCTGCTTCCATGTATATCTGCACACCAGAAGAGGGCACCAGATCTCATAATGGATGGCTATGAGCCACCATGTGGTTGCTGGGAATTGAACTCAGGACCTCTGGAAGAGCAGCCAGTGCTCTTAACCTCTGAGCCATCTCTCCAGCCCTGTTTTTATTTTTTTGACAGGTCTTACCATGTAGTCAAGGCTGGCTTTGTAACTTGCCACTTCTGCTTCAGCCTCTAGAATGTTGCGATTACAGGTGTGAGCTTCCAAGCCTGAACCTCTGCATAGCATTCTTCATAAGGTTTTTCTATGTGTAATTAAAAACACATAGGTAGCCGGGTGTTGGTGGCCCACGCCTTTAATCCCAGGAGCTAGTTCCAGGACAGCCTCCAAAGCCACAGAGAAATCCTGTCTCGGAAAAACAAAAAACAAAAAAACCAACAAACAAAAAACAAAACAAAACACATAGGTAATACATGGATGTGTTTTATAAAAAAAATTCAGAGAACACAAAATTATATAATGGAAAGTGCCCTCTACCACTTCCCAATATCTCCTCTTTAACACTACATTTGGGTGAATCTCCCCAGATATATTTACAACAGGTAGGCATGATACAATGTTTCTGCCCCCACACCCCAAGACAGGGTTTCTCTGTGTAGCCCTGGTGGTCCCGGAACTCACTCTGTAGACCAGGCTGGCCTCGAACTCAGAGATCTGCCTGCCTCTAAACACAGAACTCATATCTATTTGCCTTGTGGCACTGATAGTCTAGAGGAGGGTAATAATATAGTATTTACCACTTATCCTTCACATGTATTATTTAGTAACCTATGCAAAATATAGAATGACCAGAGGAAGAATGAGGTGTAAGCAGCTGGGAGTGAGAAGCCAAGAGACATCAGGGGTCAGCTGGCGTAAGGATTTGTAGGTGAATGATGGCACTCTGCCTTGGACTTAGGGAGAAGGGTCATGAATGGGAACGAAGAGCCAGTCAGGCTGCTATTGCAAGAATCTAGCTGAGATGGCATTGGCATGGGCAAAGGTTGTAACAATGACTTGAAGTAGAAGGGGCCATATTTGAAAAATTTAAAACTAGAGCTTCTTGGGGCTGGAGAAATGGCTCAGAGGTTAAGAGCACTGGCTGCTCTTCCAGAGGTCCTGAGTTCAATTCCCAGCAACCACATGGTGGCTCACAACCATCTGTTATGAGATCTGGTGCCCTCTTCTGGTGTGCAGATATACATGGAAGCAGAATGTTGTATACATAATAAATAAATAAAATTAAAAAAAACAACAAACTAGAGCTTCTGGGGATTAGATACAGGGTAAAAGAGCAAGGTGGATGGCTCAGTGGGAAAAATACTCACAAGGCAAGCCTGCTGACCCCAGATCCACATGGTGGAAGGAGAGAGAGAACCAACTCTCTCAAGGGAAGTGTTGGAACTGTTACTAAAATTTAGCTATTTCATTTTACCTTCTAGTAAATCATCTTATTTTAGTAAGAAATCCGACTTACCAGTGAAACCAACTGAGAGGCAACAAGCCCATCTACAGGGGAGCCCAAGTTGGGACAGGTAGTTGATCAAAAGGAAAATCAGTAACAAATGTTCCAGCCAGCTAGGTAAAATAGACCTCCATCGCTCCTGGACGAGGGGTCTTTCCCGTCTGGCTCCTCCAGCCTCTAGGGCCTGCTGAGATCAGTAGACAGTTCCAAGCCCCTTGCAGCCTCATTACCATCCAAATATGCCTCAATTGAATCCACCTAGGGTATTAGGGCTTTTCTTTTTCTTTTTTCAAATCTAATAAACAGCCTTGAGATTAAGGGGAAAGGGATAAGACCAGCTTATCTTAGTGAAAAAGGACCTTGGAAAATTGGAACATGGGAAAGCTAAATCTTGCTGAGTCTGCCCGGTTTAGCAAGTGTCTCACAAAGGCCCTGGGACCCTTCTAGGGAAAACCAGACATGGGCTGAACGTGGCACCAGACAGAAGCTCTACTGAAATAGGCAGAAAGAATGGAGGGTTCAGTTAATCATGTGGCCTTCCTGATTGTTTTCAAAAGGGGACCCACAACATAAACTTCACTGCTAGGAACTGAGCGATAGAGCTGCCCAGCAAGATCACAAGACCTGGAAGAGAGGCTGTCAGAATGAACAGGAAGACATCAGGAAGGACACCTAAGTGCAACCTTTCATAAACCTGTTGGTGCTGAGCTCAAGCATAAGCCTCATCCAGCCCCTTCAAACAATTCCCTTCATAAAGGCCATCCACATTGCAACTTATCCTGGCTACAAAAAATTGAGAATATATGCCTTTTCTACATGTATACCCACTTACAAATACTACTCTTTAATTTTTGTTTTGGGTTTCTGTGCAGCCCTGACTATCCTAGAACTCATTCCATAGACCATGGAGACCCACCTGCCTCTGCCTCTAAAGGCATGCGCCATCACTGTACTGCTAAACGTGATTTTTATGAGTGCTTTGCCTGCACCCATGTCTATGCACTACATGTATGCCAAGTGCCCTCAGGGGCCAGAAGTGTTGCATGCCCTGGATCAGGAGTTACAGAAGATTGTGAGCTGCCAAGTGGGTGCTGAGAACTGAACCTGGAAGGGTTCTCTTGCAGAGCTGCCAGTGCTTTCTCAACTGAGTCATCTAGAGGGCACAGTATTTGTTTTCTTCAGTTAACATTTTAAGCATTTCTCCCAATTGTTAAGTATTCCTCACAAAAACATACTGGTACTTTCTGAATTTTCTTTTTTCTTTTTGAGACAAGAGTCTTACTAGGTAGCTCTGGCTGTCCTGGAATTCACCATGTAGACAGCCTGTCCCTGCCTCCAAGTACTGTACTGCAAAGGTATGTGCAACTACACCTAGCATGATACTGGCATTTTTAAACATAATTCCATTAACAAGTATTTTTTAATAGACAATGCTGTTGTTCCTAGATTTGCATCCTAATTTTTGACTGAGGTCGGGTTTAAGAGTTGTTATGCTTTTCAGGTTGGGGAGATGGCGCACTGGTTAAGTGCATTTTATTGTTCTTCCAGAGGGTCAGAGTTTGATTCCTAACCACCCACCTAGTGACTCACAAACATGTCTAACTCCAATTCCTGGGAATCCATCACTCTCTTCTGGCTTCCACAGGCATCAGACAAGACAGTGGTGCACAGACATATATGCAGGCAAAACACTCACACACATAAATTACTACCTTTTAAAAGAATAGAATTTTATTTTTTAAATAAGAATTTTAGAAGATTGTCTCAAAAGTACAGGGAAGCACAAAAAAAATTCACATTTTGTTTGACAGTTTTTTTTTCTTTTAGAAACATATAAACAGGATACCAGGAATACACATACACAGGCAAAAACACCAGTAAAATTTAAATAAAAACTAAGAAATATGTAACATTCTGTAAAAAAAAAAAGTGTTGCTCTGCATAATGATCAGACTTTCATTTAAATAATAATATAAATAGTTCCCCATTTTCCTACTGTCCTGGAAAAAGCAGTAGTTTTCTGTGTAAGGGTGTAGTACATCAGCAGAGCCTCAGTTCCAGGAAGGGAGCTGCTCTGCCTAGTCACAGGAGTTCCAGAACCATTTGTGGAAAACATAATCTGATCAGCCACCTCCTGCTGCTGGCCATGTGGCTATTTCAAATCTTCTCTCTTGGATAAACATTCTGGAACAAAAGCCTCCTGAGCGGCTCTGATGCCTTTTGCAGACTCAGCTCCCAGAAGTGACCAAGGATACACCTCTGAAAACATTTCGAATAGTCACATAATTTCCTAAATGTTATCTTAGAGGTACAGTGGATATAATCTGGGACTATGTTCCACAATGCACACATCCGAGGGCAGCACTTTACATCACCTCCAGCTGAGTATTATGGTGCCAGTTCCCCTAGCAATACGTCCATGCAGCGATAGATACCATACCAATTATACTATCTGTGCTGCATTTTAATTTCATCCTTATAAGCGACAAAAGTGCTTAATTAGAAACAGTACTTCCCATTGACTCTTTCCTTGGTGTCAGGCTTGTTTCTGGGGTCTTTTCTTCAGGTGTGGTTCCCCAGGAGGTCAGACTTGTTCTGTCAAGGTGCAGATCTTTAGTTCTATAGCAATTCAACTTTTTAACCATGCACTCACATATAATATTTTAATTCAATTAATTTATTCCCAAAGGCTTAACAACAGAACACTTAAAACTTTCTGTTGGATTTACTAAATGACAACTTGTTGGTTTCAGGTGGGTCACACATTTAGTGAACATCAAAGAAAACTTAAGGAAATTTTCCCAAGGCTGAGATGTCCTATCATGCACTAATTTTAAAATCCAGCTTACATAAATGATCTGTATTAATTTTTGCTCCTTACAAAAATACTGTAGTTGCTGTTATCATATGAACTCAATAATCAAGTGCAGATAGAGGATGGGGGCAAGGCAGAGAAAGAAGGAACTCAAGCAAATCACACTGCAGACAGCAGGCAGAGGCATGGATGGCTTCCAGCCAGCCCTAGTCTCCCACACTAACAGGCACACCCAGTTTGTAGAAAGGAGCACCAGACTTCCTTTTAGTATCAAAATGCCCCCATGGAGATGACATTAAATTTACAGCACCAGTGACTGAACTGTTACGGAATGTTCTGTTATAATAGCCACAATAATTAGGGGAAACATAGACAGAGGCTTCTATAGCATGAACAATACAGCAAATATGGAAAAAAGTGAATCCCTGATACACTCTCAAAGACAGATACAGATCTTTTAATTTCAGATGGAGTGTTTATTCAGAGAAAACAGTTCTAGAGACTTTCTTAGTTCATTAAAACCAATTAAAAAGCCATCAGGAAGAGTCTGGAAACGTAAGGACACAGAGACTAGTGTCCCCTTTCCTTAGGTTTACATTTATTTGCCTCTTTAAGTAAAAGCCATGGCATGATTAACTTCTTTAGGGGGTCACTATGATGTGAGAATCATTTAGCTCAGGTTGATCTTGAACTTGTTATGTAGCTGAAGATGACCTTGAACTTGTGATTTTCTACCCTTGGCGTGCTAGGGCAGCCCTGCACCACACCTGATGTATGTGCTACACGACACTAAACCTAGGACTTAGTGTATGGTAGGCATATGCTCTGCCAATCTAGTGACAACTCCAGCTCCCGAGAACACTTTAATTCCATTGTCTTTGTGTGCATAAGATTCCTCTGAGAGCATAGAAAGAGGGAAGAAAGAGCTCAAGGAATTTGATGATGACCAGGAGTTAGGAATTCTGGTTGCTGGTTCACAAATCACTTATTGCTGGGAGGAAGACACTATTTCCCATTAATAAACCTTGAGATAGTGATACACCACAGACATATGAACTCTCTCCTTCCTCCCGCTGAGATAACAACAGAGGCTGAGAAATCCTTGTGGATCATTATTATACCTACGAGGTATGACAAACACATTACTGCTTGTACCTAGCTGGAACTGGACTTGGCCAAACATTTCTCTGAGCAAACTGTAATCAGTTTACTCTCTAGGATGTATCCAGGCAGCAGCATGGCAGATGACAACTTCCCTGCCTGTTTGTGGCTTGCCTTGGGGCTAGAGTGCATGGCAACACAAGCCTGCCAGAGTAAGAATCTAACCTTTAAGTCTTAGGTATCAGGATTTAGCCTCACCCGTTTTACTGGGCTATTCTGGTCATCCAGATGGCACAAACCATCTGTAGTAATGTCTCTTTTTGTCTCCTCCATGGTTTCTGCAGGGAAGTCCTGGTCTGTGGCCAGTACCTGTCTGACAGTCATATTAACTCGGGCAGTTTTCAAATAGGTAGCACACACCTGCCAGTCTTCCTCAGAACAGGGCTCAACAAGTGAATTGCTAGGGAGGACAGCTGGGAGAGGTGTCTCCAGGCAGTGGGGTAGGCATTCCCCATCAGGATGTGGAAGGACTCGAGGGACTGCGTGATTTAACAGGCGGCTGAAACCTGACATCACCATGATGTCACCACTGTGCATAAACATGGCTGTAGGGGCCTCATCTCTCTGGAGGCCACCCAGGAGAAAGATGGCAGACTGTCCAAAGCTACAGAAAGTAAAAATAGAAATCTCTGTTATTAGTTATACTGATGCAAGTTACTGCCAACTGCACTCATTTTCATTTCAGACTGACACTGATTGAACTCAGGCTGTGAGTTGGTGGTAGGTGCCTTCCCCTGCTGGGCCACCTCAAGATCCTTATTTATTTTTTATTTTTGGTCTGTGTGTACTTGTGGAGTCTCTCCCATCTTTCGTTACTGAAAATTTATTTCTATGTGTATGGGTATTTGTCCACATGTATGTCTGTCTGTACACATGTGTGCCTAGTGTCCCAGAGCCAGAATAGGGAACCAGATAGCCTGGACTGGAGTTACTGATAGTTGTGAGCTGCTGAGAATTAAACCTCAGTCATCTGGAAGAGCAGCTAGTGCTTTAACCACTAAATCACCTATCTAGCTCTGCATATTTTAATTCTATTCTTTATTATTATTTCTGTGTATGCATAGGCTATAGAGCATACATGGTGGTCAGAGGACATTTTGGAGTTCTCTCCTCCTACTGTGGGTTCTGAGCATCAAATTTAGGCCATCATGTTTGTTAGGGAAATACTTTTGCACACTAAGCCATCTTAGTAACTCCATCTTATTAAAAATTGCTATGCTTGTACCACAGAACATGAGTAAGAAGTCAGGATAACTTCTGGAGTTGGTTTGCTCCTTTTACCATGTGGGTCCCGAGATAAGGGTATAGGCTTGAAGCAAATGCCTTTACCTTATGAGCTGCCTCACAGGCCTCACCTTAACTGTTTTTCCCAGACAGGATCTGTCACTGAGCCTGGAATCCTGGATCCACTGTCTCCTTCCCCTACCTGCCCCCAAGCACTGGGATTAAGTAAGGCATGTTCTACTTTATGCCTGGAATTTAAATGGGTTGTTGTTGTTGGTGGTGGTGGTCCTCACACTTGTTATTTGCAGCAAGTTGCTTATCAAACAAGTCATCTGCTCAGTCTGAAAGCCATCCCTTTTAACTATTCTGGCTTGTGTTTTCCCAGGGACCAACCAACTCATGATCTGCTCTCATACATTATTATGACAGCCCATAGACTTGCTACATAATAAAGTGCAATGCAGCAGATATGCAAAGCAAGAACTGTGTTTCAACATTATCTAAGTTTTCCTGATGCATCTTTTCTTTTAAAATTTCAGCATTTCAATAAAATCATGAGTCATTTACTATGTCTCTAACTTCTTCATTTTAAAGACAATTAACAAAAGTCCCTTTCTAGTTGAGATTCTATGGACTTGTTACATATACTAAAACTTCTGTTTAAGGGAAGAGAGGGTGAACTACTCAGGCTTTGTGTTTTATTCCATATTTTGCTCCATCTTTCCAGAAAGGCTAGTTCAATTTGCTTTATGGCCTTCTAACTTGCCTATTACACATAGCAATGACAGTACTTCTCATTATAAAACTGAAATCTTGGGGCTGGAGAGATGGCTCAGTGGTTAAGAGCAGTGGCTGCTCTTCATGAGGACCTGGGTTCTACTCCCAGCACCCACATGGAGGCTCACAGCTGTCTGTAACTCCAGTTCCAGGGGATCTGGTATCCTTATAAAATAAAGTTAAATAAAGTATTAAAAAAAAACTGAAATCTTTACTAATTTTAGCTTAAAAATGACTCAGAGAAAAAAACCACCAACAACAAAACACCCCCAAATCCCCAGAATTAAGTTACCTGAAGGACAGCAAGGGTTTGGAGTGATCTAGTTCAGATCTGTCCACATGGATCCCCAGTGTGGAGTCTAGGCGGTAGTAATTCAGGATACCTGCTTCTGCTCGGAAATCCTGAAATCCACAGGCAGCAGCGACTTGCTCTGAGAGGAAAGCCAGGTCAGAAGGGAAAGGTGTATAATGATCTGCTGAGTATTTCTTTGGTAAAAGCAGAGAAAATAAGAAAAAAATAAACAATGATCTCAGAACATAGGAAATTGTGGCATAAAATCCTTTAAGTCACTAACTACTATAAACACAGGCAATATTAAGCTATCCACCCCATCACCAGTGGCTATTACTCAAGAAAATGTCTCTTTCATCCCCAGAAACCATATAGAACCACAGGGAGGGGTGGGGTTCTGTGAGATCCTCCTCCTAAAGGTTGTTTTTATTAAAAGGGAACCCAGTACTACAGTCAGCTTGCAACCTGGCTTGTTACCTATCTGCGTGGTCAATCTGATGGGGTGAAAAGCTCAAAACATCTGGATTAAATCTAATTAGAGCCAAGGTAGGACTGCCTTTTCCAGCCATTTATATTCTTAATTTCCTTCCTTCTTTCCTCCCCTCCCCTCCCTTCATTTTTTTTGAGAGAGGGTTTCTGTGTTAACCACTCTGGCTGTCCTGGAACTTGCTCTGCAGACCAGGCCTTGAACTCACAGAAATCCGCCTGCTAACTCTGGGATTAAAGGCATGTGCTACCACTGCCCAGCCTGTCTGTTTTTAATATCCATGTTCCACCAGAATGACAAGTCCACCACTAGGAGTTGGGGCTGTGCACATCTGCAGAGGATGGATGCTTCATTGCTATCACTTCTTCCTGTGCAATTTAAACTAAAATCTTATCAGAAAATCCAATTTTTTGTCTTAAAATTCCACCAGTGTTTTGGTGCAGCTAGTTGAACCAAGTCAGAAAACTGGGTAGAGTAGTGGAACCAACTATTGGCGCAAAAAAGAAAAACAAAAAACAAAAATAAAATCAAAAAAACTTTTCTGTGGGGTCTATGTGGATGGCCTTCCCTGTTTGGTTGGAATTTCTGCTTTTAAATTTATTCAACAGCATATATGAAAGGTTTCTATTTAATTCTTTTTTTGTTTGTTTCAAATAGGTTATGTCTACATAGCCCTGACTTCCTATTTAATTCTTAAACTGGAATGTGCACATAAAGAGACACATAAAGTTTCCTATATTAAGTTTTGACCCTTCAGAAAATAAGTTGGGGATGTAGGGGGTGGGGTGGAGGGGGGCTAGAGAGATGGCTCCAAGTTTAAGAGCACTGGCTGCTTTCCCAGGACACAGGTTCAATTCCCAGGACCCACATGGCAGCTCACAACTGTCTGTAACTCCAAGATCTGACACCCTCACACAGGCATACATGAAGGCAAAACATCAATGCACATAAAAATAAAACAAATAAATTACACAAACCATATAAATTCATAAAATCAGAGCTACTGCCTTACAGTTTTGCCCCCTGGGGCCTTTTTAACTGTCTACTATATTTTGAGAAAATTTCCTTCCCATTGCTTTTCTCTGAATACTCATGCAGTTTTTGATAAAAATTTCACTACTTTGAGGTATATAAAAATAGTGCACATGACATCATCAACAGTACTATGTGGCATTTTTGGGTTAGGGATAAGTGTTTAGCACAGTGAGGTGCTGCTGTTAAGACTTACAGGCACAGTCAGGCAAGTCCTCCAAGCTTTGAAAGATTTGTGTGTGTGAATGTTTGGCCTGCATCTATGTCTATGTTTGTACCTACTCCCCACAGAGGCCACAGAGTACCAAGACCCTGGGATGTAAAGATGGCTGTGAGCTACTATATAGGTGCTGGAAATGAAGCTGGGTTCTTTGTAAGTGCTCTTAACCACTGAGCCTTCTCACTAGCTCCCAATTTAATTTTTTGAGACAGGTTCTTGGTACCTGGCTTTGAACTAGTGTACTTCCTGTCTCAGCCTCCTGAGATAACAGGTAGGAGTACAGATGTGTGCTACCACTCCAAGCTCTCCAAGAGATATTTAAAGGAGGCAATATGGCAGTAGTGTTTCAAGTTTGTTCAGGAAGAAATTCAACTTCATGGGCCCAAGAACCTATAAATGTAAAAAAAAAAAAAAAAATGAATAAAGCAAATACCTTACTGTCCCAGTTATAATGGTATCCCAGGGTGACCCAGCGCAGTTTCTCTAATAAACTTCGGGGTCTCCGTTTATTCACTTCTTTAGACCTGCAAAAATTGTAAACAAGAGAATTTAGTCATCTTAAATGACATCAACAATCCTTTCTATGGCTATGCATTTAGTCCAAACTGTTAACCAAGGCTTGATAAGCAGGCTGACATTAAGAGTATTAAGACCGGAGATGAGATTTTTGTTTTTAGAGTCAGAATCTTACTATGTAGCCCTGTAGTCTAGAATGGCTTTAAACTCAAGCTATCTGCCTGCCTCTGCTTCCTGAGTGCTGGGATTAAAGGTGTATACCACTGTTTCTAGCTTAGAATAGAGAGGTGCTAGCATCCAACCGATCTTTTCCAATTACCCAAAATAATTTCTAATTTCCAATGTTTTAAAAAACGCACAGCCCTAATTCCTGGCTTTCACAGCAAACAGAAATATGTTACGCTCTCTGTCCTCGCTGCTTCCTCCAGGCATTAGCAGGATGATGGATAGGAGGGCTGGTCACCCTCTGCCCTGGCCAATGTGCTCACACAGCAGTTTTCTGTTTTTATCACGACTAAGTAAGTGCTTTATGTAAGTGTAGGCATTTTTCTCAGCAATAATGTTATAATACCATTGCTTTCAAGTGAACCCTAACTGTGTGGAAATGAACCGTCCAGTTGTCCACTCTGCAGTGGACAATCTGGGCCCATATGGAAGCATTGCATTTTTCTTTCCTTAAAAAGCCACTAAACTATGACCAAATAATGTCAGCATCCTACTGTAAGGTTTTTTTTTTCTTCATTTTTAGTTTAAGGCATGACAACTATCTTTCTCAACTTTTTCCTCAGAGACCACAGCATTTTTTCATCCTTCCTCTCCATTGAACCTGGTCTTTGAAACATTTTTTTAGATGTATTAATTTTATGTGTATGCATGTTTGTGCATCTTGTGCGCCTGGTGCCCAGCCAGTCAGAGGGTGAATCCTAGGAACTAGAACCTGCAGTGCATTCTCCCCGAATAAACTTCACTTAACCTGTACTGAGACTAGTGAATCTTGATTCCCACGCAATAGATAAACCCTAGAACTGGATTTATGGATGGTTGTTAACTACCACGAAGGTGCTGGCGCTAGGACTTGAACCTGGATCCTCCGGAAGATCAGCAAGTAAGTGCCCTGAATCACTGAGCTAACACTTTAGCCAGGCCCAAACCTGATCTTGAATTTTCTGTCCCCAGAGCCATGTTCAGTTTTCTCTACCTGAATCTCTCAATCACTACTGAGCATTCAGTGTTACCATAATAGCTAACATCCCTTTGCATCACTTAATCTTCCAGCTTCTGCTTTAGACCGTTAGGCACTTCAGCTTCTTAGCTTTGCCCATGTCTGTTAAGGTGAATAAGAAACACAGGCACAATCAAATGATGCAGGCCATCTCTCTGTGCCCAAACTTTTACAGGCCTCACAATACTCTAAGCAGCCTTCCTCCTGGCTCCCCTACTCATACTATATTATATTACCTTGATAACCTTTCTCCATTGAAGATCTTTCTTCTCACACATTCAAGCCACGCTCTGTGCCTTGTTCCCTCCTCCTGTTTTACTGTTTTAATTATGTTCATGTGTATGTGCCTTTGGAAGTCAGGTGTTGATCCCCTGGATCCCGGGTTATGGGTGATATGAGCTTGGATTTTCTACAAGAGCAGAACATGTTCTTAATTGCTGAGTCATCTCTCCAGCTCACCAACCAAAATTTTAAAAGGGGAAAAAAAGGGAAAGGACTAATTCTGCTTCTACTTGGAGAGTATAAATGGTAAAATTTTCACACAAACATACAAAGTATCTCAGAAGCTATACATAAAAACCAAACCTAAGCTGCTTTAGTTAGTTACATTTTCTCCCCTTATACTTTTTATTTTGAGACAGGGTCTCTCTGCTTATTCTTGGGTGTGCTAGAACTCTCTACATAGACCAGGCTGGCCTCAAACCCCAACTCTGGGTTTGAATGTATATGCTTGTAATTTCAGCACTCGGGACCACAGGCAGGAGAATCAATACAAGTTTGAGGGCAGGCAGGGATATTTAAGTGAGACCTTGCTTTAAGAAACATTTTTTCTTTTTAAATATAGCAAGAACAGGGCAGGGCATGGTGGCACGCACCTTTAATTTAATCCTAGTACTTGGACAGCAGATGAATCTATGAGTCAGGCCTGCTTGATCTATAGAGCTATTTCCAGGACACCCAGAGCTACACAGAGAAATCCTGTCTCATGCTATAATTTTAAATTTCTAAAAACATGATAATGCTAAGCATAGTGGTACACACTTTTAATCAGGAGGCAGATGCAGGAGAATCTCTGTGAGTTCAAGATCAGTCTGGTCTACATAGCAAGCTCCAGGACTACACAGAAACGCTATATCAAAAAATATATCCCCCCCCCCCAAATCAAACCCACGATGGTGTCACATAACAAAGGATTTGACTACTAGCTCTTTTCTCTGGTTCTGGGAAGGAAATTTCTTTTTTTTTTCTTTTTTCTTTTCGAGACAGGGTTTCTCTGTGTAGCTTTGGAGCCTATCCTGGCACTGGAGACCAGGCTGGCCTTGAACTCACAGAGATCCGCCTGCCTCTGCCTCTCGAGTGCTGGAATTAAAGGTGTGCGCCACTAATGCCCGGCTGGAAATTTCTTTTTTATTCCTGTTCCTGGAGATAAAAACTCAAGAACCTCATGCATGTTGGGCAAGTCATTGAGCTACACCCACCCTAAATCTTCAGAATTTCCTGATAGCAGTCCCACTGTTAATCATGGTGGTTCCTTGCATCACACCTGGGTTTATGCTAAGGAGCGATGATTTAGGATGTTGGCTGGTAATCCTACAAAAGCCAACCATGTGATTAGAGTGAGGTTTTATGCTAAGTGGTATTAGTTGGACCTCCAGAATGGGTGGGACATCAATACTGAATTCAACCATGTGGCTAATAGCTTACATATATTCAGGTGTAAGTGCCCCCTTCTATGTATGTGGATGAGCATGGAGGCCAGAGATGAACTTGGGTGCCATACTAAGGAGGTGTCCAACTCTCTTTTATTTGACAGTATCTCTCCCAGTGAAACACAGGGCTCACTGATTACACCAGCAAGTGAGTCTCCCAGGGATGTCTGTTTCTACCTCCCTAGCACTGGGATTATAAGTAAGTGCCACCATGTTGTTTTTTTTTAATGTGGGTACAGTTGACAGGCAGTGTTGGCGCATGCCTTTAATCCCACACCCAGGAGGCAGAGGGATCTCTGAATTCAAGGCCAGTCTGGTCTACTGAGAGAGTTCTAGGACAGCCAGGGATACATATAGAAACCCTGTCTCCCCCCTTACCCCCCAAAGGTGGGTATAGGTATAGGGGTTGAATTCAGACCCTTAAGCTTCTGTGGCAAGCACTTTACCAACTAAGCTATCTTCCCAGCCTCTCTTTTTTGAGACAGGGGCTCTCTCTGTACTGGAACTTACCAAATATGCTAGTGAGCTCTAAGAATTTGCCTGTCTGTGCCTCCTCAGTACTAAGATTACAAGAAGGCAAGGCCATGTCTGGCATTTTTCCCCTCTTCCTTTTAATTAAAACAAAATAAAACACATGGGTTCTGGGGAACTGAACTCAGGTCCAGGTACATGACTAATGATTTAATCAGTAGTGACTATACAACAAAATGCACTCCCCCAAAATTCTGGACACTAAAACTTGGGAGCTCACTGGCTGGTAGAAACACCAATGTGCTATGAGGATAAATGCCCTGACTCCATAGAGAAGGGTACACAAGGCACTACACCCTGGTCTCACAGTCCCAATTTTGTGCAACTGGAAGCACAGTGTTTTCCTGAGTTCTAGGGGCTCACAGAATCACAGAACATGAAGGGGTCATGAAACACCCTGAATCTATAATCAGTGGTGTGAGCAGCCTATAAAGACCCCAAACCAGATGTCTGAAGTTTGTGCAAACTCTGCATGGCTTTATCAGAACTGAACTCCAGATGAGAAACTGTGACAAAAATGACATGACTTCTACATTCCAGGTAGAAAAGTTTGAAAAGGGGTAAAAAGCGGACTGATAAAGGTGGCTGGGTTAAATACAATGAGAAAGATAGCTTAATCTGACTCTCATGCTTACTTTGTCTTCAAGTGATAGATTTAAGGTTTTTTGGGTTTTTTTTTTTTTAGGATTTCATCTATCTAGCTATGTATTTATGTATGTATTTATTTATTATGTATACAGCCTTCTGCCTGCTTGCCAGCAGAAGGCACCAGATCTCATTCAAGGTGGTTGTGAGCGACCATGTGGTTGCTGGGAATTGAACTCAGGACCTCTGGAAGAACAGTCAGTGCTCTTAACCGCTGAGCCACCTCTCCAGCCCCAACTTAAGATCTTTTAATGGCAGCCCTAACTGTAGTTTTGTATAAGATTCTCTAGCTATACTACCCCTGAACAAAGCACAGAACTGAAATACAATTGTTTTGTTAACTCCTATTTTTCTAGTCCATTCACACACTACATCTTCATTTCCTATTTAAAATGGCCATGGAGGTCTACGGAAATAGAAGCTGAAGGATCCTAACACCCTCTTGTTCCTGGTTCTCAATGTGGGAGGATGTTGGGGACAATCAGAATCTCTGGGGGAGCTATCCAAACGTAGACACTCTCTACTCTGACAGACTTTGGAAGTGGACAGAGTTTCACGTATTGCTCACAGGACTCTGACAGACCATGATTCAAACACCTGGACAGCTTATCCCATCCGACACCTTTATTTCCCACATGAGGAAATGGAAACATAGATCACATAGTGACAGGATGGGAACTAGGAACCTAATCGATTTTCAATGCACAGTGTCTCAGACTATCAATTTCCTCCAGCCTTGACAACATAAGGTATAACCACCACTATTTTTATTTTTGCTAATTTATTAGACAAAAAAAGTATCTCCTCATTGTCTATTGAAGGATATATTAGAGGTTCATCTGAGCTATCTTAGAAGGCAGCTATGGTTTCTATAGTCATATATCAGAAGGTAAAGAATTACTTGAAAACACAGGCAGGTATAGTAATATTGAACACTTTAATTTTATTCAGTTATGGTGCTTCCCTAAAAGTAGCGCTAAAAGCTGAAGAACAGGGAAGGTTACCTGCACTGCTCCTACAAATACCTTAAGCCACAGACCTAGGAGGCTTTAAAGAAACCCACTAAATGTTATTCTTTCTCCTTTGAACCTAAGAAAATCTTGTATTTCCCCCATTAGAATCAGCATGACAGTTTATGGCATGAAGAGCAGATAGGCCACCAAGAGGATATATTTTCAACAAGCATCTTCTAAGGATTTCTCACATATGTTCACAGAAATCAAGAAGGAACTGTTAAACAAGACAACTTGCCCAAAGCTACTACCTGGGAGGTCAGGCCATCTGACTCCAGAGCTGGTGCTCTGCATTGTTATTTAAACCCTGTGCAGCTTGGCAATCCACCAGGCCTACTTCACTTACAGTTTTGTCTACCCTATCCATGACTTCCAGCATTTCTATAAATTATTCCAACCTTGCCACGCAAGTGACCATTCTCATGATAAAGTGTCAGTTCTAAACTTGTAACTGCCAATGATCTTTATCCGACACACTTTTACAGAAATCATAGAAGACAGCAACTGTTTTGATTTTCTCCTTTAGAATTGAAATAAAGAAACAGGTTAAATATCATCACTCTCCAGCATGAAAACTGTTAGGTGACAGAAACAGAATGTTGGAGTACTGCAATTCACCCAGCTACTGATTAAGCTGGTTAGAACTTGCATGAACTCCAATTACTCTCGCATACGCTGTCCCCCTTGCCTGGCCACGAGCTGGATCAGGCAAGGTCTACGGATATGCCTAAGAAATGTTTCCTATATTCTTTGAAATCTCTAACACTTGATGCATACACCATGTGCTCCTATTTCACAGAACACACTGTCTTAAATACTATCTCTCCTCAGTCTGATGAATACTCCTAACCAGACCTTTTACTATTCTGAATGGTAAATCCCTAACTAATCATTTTAAAGAATAGCTAGGGGACTGGGGATAGATTAATAGATACAATTTTTAAAAACTGTGTTTAAAAAAAATCACCCTTTCTTCTTGGATATTTTACCCTGCTTGGAAGAATTATTTTCTCCTGTTTCCCACCACTATAACATTTTCTCAGCTCTGTTGCAATTACTCCTGTACCTAGTTCCTGAGCCTAAGGAAAGTATCCTGTCTAAGCTTTGTGTCTCCAAGGCCTAGCATCATGCTTGTTACCCAACAGATTTCTCCAACGAGTATTTGTGGAATGAATGCTGAAACATCAATATCTAAACACTAGCTGTTCCACGAGCAACATTATGATCCATCATAAACGAGGTAGCAGCAACTCCATGTAGACATTTTCCCCACAAGTCTCCAAAGGAACACTTTGTATAAAAACAGATCATGTGAGGATGAATGTGGATGAACTCAGTTTCTAAGCTAATGGATCTCATCAATATAACTGTCAAAGCATCTGTCCAAATGTTCTTAGTAGGAAAAGAACACAACAGTGCTGGGCAGTAATGAGGTTTGTTAAACCCAATGCATCCACTTCTACAGCATTTGTTCAAAACAGTTTCTTCAAGAATCTTGCTCTGGCTGCTAAGACTCACCTTAGGAACTCTTTGCTCTGTTCCCACAGATTATGGGTCTCTTCTTTAGTCATGTGTTTGTCCAGGTTACATACATTAGGTTTCTGGGAGTACAACTTAAGACACTGTTTTATCCAGTGCCACTGGCATCCTGGGAGGAATGGGTTTGGGATGAAAATAAATCCTATAAAAAGAAAATGGGGGTGGGGAGAAACATTTTCAATTGTTCTGTTTCTTTTTTTCATATTCTTTCTTTTTTTTTTTGTTTTTACAAGACAGACTTTAGAGGCTGTTCTGGAACTAGCTCTTGTAGACCAGGCTGGCCTCGAACTCACAGAGATCTGCCTGCCTCTGCCTCCTGAGTGTTGGGATTAAAGGTGTGCACCACCACCGATCTTATGCCTACGATTCTGTCATCTACTTCCCATATCCTTTGGTTCTGCTTAAAGTTAATGAAAAACCAAGTTTGGATGAACAAGAGACACCATGTAAATATCTGACTTTTTTTGGGACATCCTCAAGAGAAACAAATAATTCACAAGGTTAGCTGTCAATGGTGTCCCCTAAGGCAACTTTAGAACTGAAAGTTCATCCTTAGATTTTCACCAAGTACCAATTACAGTCACAAGACTCCTCCAAGTATTTCCCTTATTGCAGGCATAGAAAGCTACTAATACTTGATTTAGTTAATCACAGGTCTTCATCTAGTAAACAGAACATTAATTATTAGTCTATCTTGTTTCTTAGCTTCAAATACAGCTTTCTTGAACTTACAAGTACCTGTAACTCCAATCTAAAAGGATCCAACACCTTCCTAGTTTCACAGGCACTGTACACATGTGGTGGACAGACTAATATCCAGCAACCTGCCCCCCCCCCAACACATGAGAAGAAAATATATTCTAACACTTTCAAAAGGTATCAGCTTAAAAAGATTCTGGGGCTGGAGAGATGGCTCAGAGGTTAAGAGCACTGGCTGCTCTTCCAGAGTTCCCAGCAACCACATGGTGGCTCACAACGATCTATAATGAGACCTGGTTCCTTCTTCTGGCCTGCAGGCATACATGCAGGCAGAACACCACATATGCAATAAATAAATGTTGTGTAAACCAGGCTGGCTTCCAACTCACAGAGATCCACCTTCCTCTGCCTTATGGGATTAAAGGCATCTGGTAATTTTTTTTATTTTATTTTTTTGTGATGGTGACTGAACTAAGACCTTAAGCATGCCAGGCAAACGCTACTACTGATCTATATCTCTAGGCTTCTTTTATGAGTTACAAACCTGCTTTTCTTTAATTTGCATTGTTTTGGGGTTCTAACACACACACAACTCCAAATCAATTTCGTCCCCCTCTTGGTTTAGAGATAGGATCCTGTTAGTGTAGTTGAACTGGTTTACTGCATCCCCTACTTTGCTTGCTTTGAGGCAGGGTCTTGCTATATAGCCCGGACAAGTCTTGTAATGTAGTGATCCTCTTGCCTCAGCATCTTGAGTTAGTTCTGGGGTTACAGGCATGCACTACCATGTCTGTTCCAAATCAGCTTTTCATTTTTCTTAATGACACACCTATGGCTTCATAGTTAACATTTACCGACAACTTATGACACACCAGGCATTAACTTTCATCACCCCCCCCACACACACAGGGTTTCTCTGTGGCTTTGGAGGCTGTCCTGGAACTAGCTCTTGTAGACCAGGCTGGTCTCGAACTCACAGAGATCACCTGCCTCCGCCTCCTGAGGGCTGGGATTAAAGGCGTGCACCACCAACGCCCGGCAAACTTTCATCACCTTTAAAAAAAAAAAATTATTTTACCTGCACCGGTGTTTTGTCTGCCATGTATGTCTGTGAGGGTGCCAGGTCTTGGAATTACAGTGTTAGCTGTCATATGGGTGCTGGGAATTGAACTCAGGTCCTCTGGAAGAGCAGTCAGTACTTTTAACTGTTGAACCATCTCTCTAGCATCTCATCATAATCTCTTAAAAGATTTATTTTTAATCATGGGTATGTGTGTATGCACCAGTGGCGTCAAAGTTAGTTTTGAGCTGTGAGCTGAACACAGGTCCTCTGTAGAATAACATGTACTCTTAACCACCGAGCTATCTCTCCAGGTCCCAAACTTCAGTCTAATCTTATGGTGGGTCCTATCTTTATGTACACTTTCACATTACCCCCCCCACCCCCCCACCCCCGTCTTTTCTTTCCCAGATTCAAGTTTCCTCCAGTAAAGAAAGGTTTTGGTAAACAGAGCTCCTTCAGAATAAGTAGAATCAAGAAGCAAACAAAACCCTCTGATCACCCTAAAAGGAGACTTTCCCATATGTTGCATCATTATACACTTATTCAATGCAGGTTACAATGGCTTTGAATGCCAAAGAAATTCCCCAGGAACACAATGAAGCCCTAATGCAAGTGGGCCTGTGACTTTGAAAATGGTAGTTAAGAGTTAGAAGTTTAAGAGCAGCCTGCTCTTGGAAGGAGAGGCCTGAAAAAAAAACACACACACACACACACACACACACACACACACACACACACACACACACAGAGAGACAGACAAGTCATACATATTAGATAAAAATAAATACACCCTGGGGCTGGTGAGATGGCTTAGCAGTTAAGAGTATATTCTGCTGTTACAGGAACCAGGTGCTTGATTTCCAGTACCAATGTCAGGTGGCTCATTTGTCTGTCACTTTTGTTCCAGTGATGCAGTATCCCATCCGCTTCTGGGTTGCTCCATTCTTTGGAAGCATTAAACAGATAACTCAGAGAAGGCACAAACAGATCCTACTCCAGGGTGGGGCACTAGTGTGTGTTTAGGCACGTGTCCTTTGTTTATCTGTTCACCACTCATTCATTCCTAGGAAATCAATGACTGTAATTACCAGGGTAGCCTTCAAGTCCATAGGCCTGCCACTTGCTCACAGGCTGAAGTCCTGCCCTACAGGCATCATGCTCAGTCACTGAGGACACATTCAGATGAAATCTGACCACCTGGAAGGAGAAAAACTTAAGTCAGAGGGTGAACAATCTTAGACGTCAACCCTAGGAACCTCAGACCTCCAAAGAGATTTTGACTATGGGTTTGTATTATTAGCTCTCCCATCTATTTGACCCATGGCCTTAGTTTCCTCGCTTACACTCTAACATATATCATATAGTTTTGCAAAATTAAGCAAAGTGGTAATAAGATAATTGGGCTTCTTTTTTTGACTAAGACAACCCTTTCCTCTGAGTATACACTTTAGGACACCCCCCCCCACACACACACACAGGGTTTCTCTGGGTAACAGCCCTAGCTGTCCTGGAACTCCCTGTGTAGAGCAGGCTGGCCTATAACTCACAGAGATCCACCTGCCTCTGTCTCCCACTGTGATTGAAGGCATGCGCCACCACTGCTTGGTAGGATTTTAAGAGAACTCATGAAGTGTTTCCTATCTTGAAATGGTATTTCATCTGGCAAACGCTAAAACACTGCTTCTGAGGCCTTTGTTATAGTTATAAACAGGAAAATGTCAGGCAGGAGTAGGCTGTGAAAATGAAAAAGAAAACCTTTTTCGTGCTTACTGACGAGACATCACACTGGTTGAAACCCAGTAAGTAGCTGGTCATGGTGGCCCACACCTTTGATCCAAGCACTCAGGAGGCAGAGGTAGGTGGTTCTCTGTGAGTTTGAGGCCAGCCTGGTCTACAAAGGGAGCTTCAAGATAGTCAGAGCTACAAAGAGAAACCCTGTCTTGAAAACTAAACTAAAATATTTGAACCAAAAACTAAAAACCAAAATACTAACATACATACATATATAAAACAAATAGAAAAAAAACCACTTCATTCTTCCATGAATAACAGATGTGGCTTGCCTTAAAGTACACTGAATGCTCCCCCACCCACCAAGAGAAATGAAATGCACTTTTTTTTTTTTTTTGGTTTTTCGAGATAGGGTTTCTCTGTGGCTTTGGAGGCTGTCCTGGAACTAGCTCTTGTAGACCAGGCTGGTCTCGAACTCACAGAGACCCGCCTGCCTCTGCCTCCCGAGTGTTGGGATTAAAGGCGTGGGCCACCAACGCCGGCTTGAAATGAACTTTATTATGAACTTATTATGTAGTCCTGGCTCTCCCGGAACTCTGAGATCCGCCTGCCTCTGCCTTCCAGTGTTGGAACTAAAGGTGTGTGGCACCATGTCTGGCTTGAGAAATTAACAACCTCCAAATATGGAGACTTCCCGACAAAATTCCAACCAGCAGGCTTACAACAAATGATTTCTTCCTCTGTGTTGCTGGGAAAATTACCCCACCACAGCACCACATGTCCAGTCTACCACTCTTTAAAAACGGCTATCTGGAACGTTCTGAGTTACTTATGGTTGATAAAATATTTTGTCATTCTCCTTTCCTCCCTCTCTCCTTTTGGTTTTCCAAGACAGGGTTTCTTTGTGTAGCCCTGGCTGTCCTGGAGCTGTATTTGTAAGCCAGGCTGGCCTCAAACACATTAGTAGCCAGACTGGGATACAGAATGAGACTATGTCAGCAAAACCAAATTTTAAAAAACCGTGACCAAGGAAAATATGCATATACCACTACAGCTTCCCCCTCTGCCGCCTTCTCATTATGTCCTCTTTCTTCTCAGGAAGAAGAAACAGAAATAGGGTATTAGGTTGTTTAGATTTACTTTACGTCCATGAGCCTTTTGTCTGTGGAGGTCAGAAGAGGGTGTATGATCCTCTGCAATGGAGTGAGCCGCCACGTGGGTTCTGGGAATGGAACCCAGGCTCTCTGGAGCAACCCAAGTGTTCTTAGCTGTTGAGCCATCTCTCTGGGTCCTTTTTTCTAGACCGGGTTTCCCTTATTTAACAGCTCTGTCTGTTCTGAAACTCCTTTGGTAGACCAGGTCGTCCTCGAACTCACAGAGATCCGCCTGTCTGCCTTTGAGTGCTGGGATTAAAGGCGTGCGCCACCGTCCGCGTCCGATTTTGATTTTTTTAAAATGCTTATTTGACATTTATGTTCACCGTGGGTGGAGTATCTCAAGATTCTACAATGACATTTTTTTTTTAAAGTCTCACAGAAGACAGGGCCTAGTCTTAAACGCGCATAGGCTTAACAGTTGGAGACTTAATTCGACGGTAGGTTGTATCTGAAGCCGGAAAACCACCCTGACGCCCGACACGACCTCCCGTAGGACTTTACACAGAACAACGAAAGGGGTAGGAGCGATTTCCAGGCTTTCGGGAGCGAGGCCGCGGGGGCCTGGGGAGAAAACGGCGGCAGGAAGACAGGGGCGGCCCAGCGCTTTGGAAGCGGAGAGCCGGCGGGCGAGCAGAGCGGCCCGGGAGGCCGACCAGGGGCCTCATGCGCCGTCGAGAAGTCGATGACCGCTCCCAGGTCTGCCGTCCCCCGCCGGCTCTGCCGGTAGAAGCGGAAAAGCTTCCGGAAGGCGTCCTCTCCAGGTTCTGTCGCCAGCGTGGCGAACGAAGCCACGGCCGCCGCCATCTTCTTCATCCTGACGCAGAAGGACGGCCAGACCCGGAAGCAGAACTGCAAGCTCGGAATCCCGTAGGTCCTTCCGGGGTCACGACCCCAGGTCTAGCTTCGTTCCGATTGTAAGATGGCAGCCTCCGCCGTGGGCCGAGCAATGGCGCTGAGTACGCGTGGCAGTCAGCATGTTGCTTTCGTCAGGAGAATTCCTTGGACCGCGGCGACGAGTGAGTGATGGAGATGCCCAAGCGCGCAGCTTTCATGTTTAAGTAGCTCGTAAGGCCTCTGCAGAGGGCTTAAGTCAGCGTGGTAGATGCGTTAGGTGAGGTGGTTTGCCTTTTTTTTTTAGAACGCTTCACGAATTTGCGTGTCATCCAAGCTGGTCTCTTCTTTTGGAAGCGAGCGCAAGCGGTTTGCTGTTGAGCAAGTCACTGCGCGGAAAATTTTGCTTCCGGTTAACTGTTTAGAGATGACAACCCCCCTCTCCTCCCCCCAGCTAGGGTGCGAATCGACCGTACCCAGCGATTTGGTGGAAAGATTTATTATTTGCTTCCTTGGACTTCTACGATTTAGAGGGAACTATTTTGACCTCAGGGGAGCTTGGCTTTAAGTTGCCAAGAATATAGGTGTGAAGATGAGAAAAGATTTCATTCCGTTCAAACATGAAAACTTGGAAGCATGTCGTTTTTCAAAATAAAATTGACAGCATTGGTGCTGGTTTTAGGAGAAGGGTGTGCATTCCAGATTGCTAGCATGGGTGACTTCTGCTTTTAGGATATAGGAGGAGCAAACTGAGAGAAGATGAGGAAAAGTTGCGGTGTGTGAATTTGAGCTGCTTTACTAGTGAGGTCTCTGGCCAGCGTTTGCTCGCAGATCGTATATTGCGATCGAGAAGCGGACTGGGAAATCAGGTTGACTGTGTTAGAATTCCAAACTACTCATTTTAATAGCTGTATAATCCGAATAACAGAAGTTAATATGGGAAAGGGTCTTCTTACAAGAGATCCAGTTTAATTTTCTAAAAAAAGTGGAATCAGTAATGCCGCGACATGGAAATGGGGGATGGGGAGAGGATTAAACGAGTATATAAACTCAGTAGATGTATGCTGGAGCTTAAGTACTTAACTAGTACTAGTTATTTGCATGGTTGTTGAAGCACAGGAAGAACACTAGTCTGATGACAGAGGGTAGTTAGTTCTAAAATCACTCACCAACTTTGATTTTTGCCAGCTGCAATTTATAGTTTTATATATGTGTGTGTGTGTGTGTATGTTTCTGTGGATATGTGCGGGTGAGTGAAGGTGCTCCATGTGGCGTAGAAGCCTTGCTAACATGTGGGTCTTTAGAACTGAACTTGGGTCCTCTGTAAGAGCAGTATGCACACTTAAACGCTGAACTATCCCTCCTGTTTTTATTTATTTTGAGACAGGATATCCTACTATATCCTACCTATAGACTAGGTTCTGTTTTTATTTATTTTGAGACAGGATATCATACTATATCCTACCTATAGACTAGGTTCTGGGCGTTATAGGCGAAATACTTTGCCTCTCTAAATTAAGATTTTTAAATTTGTTCCCCAAGTTTAAAATCCAAGATAATTTTTTGGGGGGGAGTTATTCATGTATAGATCAGCCCTCTTTGGGGTTTTTATCTACAACCTACAAAGAGTATGCAAGATACACAAACTTATTTTAATATGCTTTCTTCTTACAGGTGAGCTGAGAAAACATTTTGCTCAGTTTGGCAATATAAAAAGGTGTAATGTACCTTTTGTGAGTATTAAAACAATAACAAAAAACTATTGGGGATTAGCTGGGGATATATCTCTATAGTAGAGTACTTGGTTAGTATGTATGAGGCTTTGGATTTGATCCTCAGACTACCAGAAGGAAAAAAAGTTATCATTTAATTCTTGATTTCTGTTATATACATTATGTAACACACACATAACTTGCTCAGTCTGTGTGTTACTTGTATGTATGTTTTCAGGACTGACTGACTATTCAGTCCTGGATAACCAGTTGGTGTGCTCTTCCCTGAGGAAGACTGTTTCTTCCGCACTTAGCATTCCTCAGTTGCCCGTAGTTATTTTGGGGGGCTGGGGACTCTTGAGCCTTCATTCTTTCAGGTTAACAAGTCTTTTGGTGCTGTCCTTGTTCTGTGTATCATAGACATTTATGTTCTTTTTTGGTGTTTTTGAGACAGAGTTTTTTGGTGTAACAGCCCTGGCTGTCCTTGAACTTGCTCTGTAGACCAGGCTGGCCTTGAACTCTGAGATCCGCCTGCCTCTGCCTCCAAGAGTGTTGGGATTAAAGGCGTGCACCACCACCCTTCCAAACTCCCCTGAGGTAATTGGCAAAATTTTATAAATTCTATTTATTTTTTGTGTGTGGGTGTTTTGCCTGCATGTATACTTATGCACCATTTGTGTGCAGTGTTCTAGAAACCAGAAGCCATCATTGGATCTCCTGGAACTAGTTACAGTCAGTTGTGAGCTGCCATGTTGGTGCTGGGAATCAAACTCAGGTCTTCTGGAAGAGCAGCTGTGTCCTTAACTGAGCAATCTCTCTAGCCTCTGGCAAAATTCTTTAAAATTTGTGTTTTTGAGATAGGACCTCACTATGTAGCTCAAACTGTCCTCAAAATTACTATCCTTGAACTCACAATCCTCCTGTCTCAGTTTTGAGTGGCAAGCTTCCAATTGTGTGCCACCAAGTTCCAGTTTGGCAGCAAAGGAGTTTCTCTAGTATTAAGATAGTCACATATAACATCACACTGGTGACAGTCCATTTCCCTTTGCCATATAACCTGATTGGGGAGCTGTGTCTTATCATCTTTGCCATACTGTGTATTAAAGTAAGTTATATATTCTGATTCCAGTTCTATGGTATCTAATGCTCTCTTCTATGGCATATATTTACACAGGCCCATACATATAAACATTACAACAAAGCATGTGATGAAAAGCATATGATGACAGAGGGAGTGGTGACAAGGTTCTTTGGTCTCAGAAATGGCCAGGTGGAACTAGGTTTGGGGATTTTTCTAGTTCCTAGTTCATCAGAAATAGGAAGTCAGTTTCCTTTGACTAAAACCGTTAGTGGTTTGCTCCTGGACGGTTTGACTGTTATTGTGATCTGCATCTAGGATACAGAAAGCTTTGTTCCTATCCTATTTCCTCTATTGCCAGTAGAAAAGCAGAGTAAGGCTAGGATTTAGCCTTGGGTAGGTAGGAGGGTATGCAGTTAAGGATTACTGATATGTATTATCTGTGATCTGATTATGCAAATTAAACTCCATACGTTTTATCTGGATGGAGCTCTAGGAAACTTTCAAGTTCATAGTTTATCTTTTTTCTATTATTTTCATTTTTAGGACAGAGAGACTGGCTTTCACAGAGGCATGGGTTGGGTTCAGTTTTCTTCAGAGGAAGAACTTCAGAATGCACTACAACAAGAAAATCATATTATTGATGGAGTAAAGGTAAGTATTTCTGTTGATGTGTGTTTGTTTCACGTTGCTTTTTAAAGAGTAGTTGGTGTCTTATAAGGTCCATAAGGAAAATCCATGAAGACCCCATTTTTGATGCTAGGGATTGAACCCAGAATGCCACACATATGATAAGCACATGCTCCACTGAGTTTTCATCCCCAGGTGGAAGACCCTCTGATAGCTTATCCAGGCATATGTAACACAGAATGGTTCAAACAGCAATGTAGACAAACACCTGAAATCTTCCCTTCCCCTCTCTGATTACCCAGAAGGAAGACACCAACCACCTGAGTCACTAATAAAATGATATTTGTGGAAACAGGGAAATTCTTCTTTTAATGTCATTTTTTTCTTATAGTGCTTTTTCCCTCCACAGATGGATGTTAAAGCTTGGAAAGAAAGGATTTTGCAAAGGGCTCAAACATCTGATGAAGACAGAGACTTCTGAGATGGTTACTGTAGTACCCATTAAATAAATGTAAAGAGACTTTTTCTAAATGTTTTTATTTGAAACAAGAGCTGCACACTAAGCAGGACCTTAGTTTCCCCACTGCAAGGTAAAACAGCACAACAGGGCAAATGCATTTGGTAGCACAGTTCCAGTATGTGGACATTTTGGGGTAATTTTATTCATAAAGTTCTTACACAAAATATTACCCCTGGATTAGTAATTTCACATACAAGAAAGTGGTCTTAATTCTGTTTGGGGCAGTATTTCCTATAAGTGCTGTATGATGGGAGCACAGACATAACTCATTCTTTAAAAAAACTAATCCAAAGTAGAATATTCAACCCCCATCTCCTGGAATAAAAAGTAGTGCTGGGATCTATTGCCCAGATTTGGTTTTTGTCCTGATCATTTACAAAGGGTTTCCCAATGACTTGCATCATTAGGGCTGTGAATAAGAGTCCTTTGCTTTGAAAAGAGGCCTATCTACTCCTTCCTCCGCTTCTTGCCTTCATGCTCATGTTCCTTAGGGCGACTGCTGTCAGAGGGTCTTTTAGAACCACCATGCTGTTTGGCTTCTTCCAAAAATTTATCCAAACCAAAAGGATCTTCCTCAAACTGAACTGGTCCCTCTCGGCCTCTCTGTCTGCGGTCGGAACCAGAAAACTCCTTATCAGGTACAAACCTAGGGGAAAAGGAGAAGAGGTCATGAACTGCTTTTGTTTTACTGGTGTAACCAGGACAATCAACTGTCTGTTTTGGTACCTGTTGGTCTTTATCCTGGTTTCCAGGTCATCACCATACATATCTTTGTCCAGATTTTTACTGGGCCTGTAGATACTTTGAGCCATATCTTTACCGCCTCTCCAGGCCTGATCATAAACATTATAAATTTCATCTTCTCCACCTGCAAATCCACTGTCCATACCCTGTGGAAAAATAAATGACACTAGATAACCATATACATTAATATACCCAAGCTGAACCTGAAAACTTGTGAGTACTCAGATCACTTCCATTTTTTCAGGTAATTCTCAAAGCCCCCAACTCCAACATTTAAAACACACACAGACTTGTTCATACTCATTTGAGTTCTTACCCAGAGACTTACTATTAAATTAAGGTATTCATTAAAAGTTTGATTAAGCTGGCTGTGGTCTATGTATCAAGTTCCAGGATAGTCAGAGCTATGTAAAAGACCCTGTCTCAAACAACAAAAGCTTTGACTAGCCATCAGACAAAGGACACAAAGTTGAGTGTGTAGAGAGGGTGGGGTGAATCTGTGGGGAGTTGAAGGGAGGGAGCGAGGTTAAAACTCAACTAACTGTATGCACTTCTCAAAAACTAAAGTTGAAGGATTCTACTGTAGGAACCTGACAATAATGCTGAGAAATGTAACCTCCACTGCCTGAGAACGTCACTATCAAAGCACAAGACAATTAGGTTCTCAATGAAAATCTTAAAAATTTTCACCCAACTTTGAAAAGCTTTAAGCTTAAGGTTGTAAGAGATAGAACCTTTAACCACTTAAAGCAAAGACGTTAAGAAAAAAAGCTTTGGAATCAAAGCATTCAAGGTTGAATCTCAGTTCCATCAATTACCTAACCCTGTCTCAATTATCTTTGAAACATAAGAGGCTAGGGACATAGCTCAGTGTTAAAGCACTTTCTCCATATGTATGAGGACCCAAGTTTGGATCCTCACGACCCATGTAAATGACAGGTGGGGGAGTGGAAGTTTGCCTGTAACTTCACCCTCTGAAGACGGAGACAGGAGATCCCAGATCACGTTGGCTAACAACCTTTATCAGTGAGTTCTGGTATTGACTGAGAGACCAGTATCAGGAAGAGTGATAAAGAACGATTCCCAACATCAACCTCTGCCTTACATGCATGTACACATATGTATACATGCAAACATGCATATAAATGAAAATGAAAAAATAAAAGTGAAAACAACAATATGGCTTTATATTCCCCAAACACCAACAGTGTTTTTAAAGGATTGAAAGAGATTTAGAACAATGCCAGGAACACAAGCAGTATTAAAAAAAAAAAAAAATGATTGTTACTTGGAAGAGCCTGCTCAAATGCTATCTCCATATCTTCTAAAACCATCAAATCACAATTTTATCCCCAGGAAGAGCTGACACTACACTGTGTATGTGTGTACACTCAACATAGACTTCTTTCTTTGAGGGCAGAGGCAAAGTATCTTTGATCTCACTGACTTAGGGGAATTTACAAATCAAAAATAGGTGATTAAATTGTTCTTGGCTGGTTAATTACAACCAATACTAGAAATATGATTTTCTGACAGTCTACTACTTTAATAATCCAGTCCCATAGTTTTTTTTTTTAAATATATTTTAATATTTTGAAACAGGGTCTCATGTACCTCAGGCTGACCTTGAACTCTTGTTCTTCCTACCTCTACCTTCCAAATGCTAGCATTACAGACATACATACCACACCTGCTTTATGTCATATTGGAGATCAAATTCAGTACTTCAAGCAAGCTAAGCAAGCACTCTACCAAATGAGCTACAACTACAGCTCTAAAGCGTCATTTTAAAAAGATTTCAAATTGATGGTGTTACAAAACTCAAAGAAAGGAAGGAAAAAGGAAGGAAGGAAGAAATTTAAGTTTTACCAACAAATTACCCAAGAGGTACTTTTATAGGAAACCAGCTGTTTTGGAAATAAAAGATGAGTCAAGAGGTGTTGGGGCATGCCTTTAATCCCGGTGCTTGGAAGGCAAAGGCAAAAGGATCTTGAGTTTGAGGTCAGCCTGGTCTACAGAATGAGTTCCAGGTCAGCCAGGGCTACACAGAGAAACCCTGTCTCAGGCTGGCCTTGAACTCTTATCTTCCTGTCTAGCCTCTCAAATGGGCCACCATGTCCAACTTTCATTTTTGTCTTTAAGTAAAAACATACAACTTCCAAAATTTTCCTTTCATCACTCCACCCTTGGCTAATCCAAATCCAAGTTGGGGTACTCTACCCCAAGGAAAGACATCCATACCAACATACAAGATAAAGCTGCTTTCTAAGTTCCTCATACCTTGGTTTGGTTGAAGAGCCTTTGGTCATACTGAACTTCATTGGAAGTGCGAGGATTAGGCACACCAAGAGCAATGACTTCACTGATATCTCGATTTTCATTTCTCTGTAGTTTTGACCTATTTTAAACACACAATCATTAACTGAACACATTTTACAAACAAGACGGATATATGCAATATAAATACAACCACTCTCAGAAGCACAGGAAATGCATGTGTTATGTTTTTGTCTCATGAACATACATCTTTAGATAACGCACATCACATCAGCAGCTCCCACAGCACTTCATATGCAAGACTAGAAGGTAGGCAGTAGTCTACAATTAGGACCCATTAGCTCAAAAGAACACACAACAGACTGGTTCTTGGATGCCAATGGATGCATTACACACCGTCAGTCCTTTTCACCAGGGCACACTCAGCTGTGACCTAACTATATGTGGTAATTTTTATCCTACTAGGATCCCGAGGAAAACATGGCAATGACTAAATTACTCTGCATGGCTTCTGACATTACATTAATTCCTCTGCTGTTTTAGTATGAATGTAATCGGCATCTCAATGAAACCATGGTAACTGTCACCACTTTACAAGATGCTCATGTCTTAAAATATTTCAGTAGACAATTTTATTTTCATCCAATTACAAGTTCACAGCTTTTCGGTGTCATCAATTCTCACAGCCACTTTACTGGTTTGAAAAGCCCTATTACTGTACAGAGCCACTGTCCTTTACAATGTTGCAAGTCCCCAGGCTGATACTTCTTTCATTCCTCTCTCTTCAACTTGGGTTCAATTTCTTGAGTAAACTTATCCAGAAAGAAGAAACATGCCAATTAAATAAGTAACCGCCCTAAATTCCTAGGATAACCAGAGCATGGAAAATTGCTCATACAGGAAAAAATGTTTCACATTTGCATTCAGGCCTAAACTCCAAATTCTACCTTTGCAGCACAGCATTTTCTAAACTCTGAAACAACAGAAGTCCTAGGGCATTGGTGAATCCGAAACTTCCCTGATTCCTACTTATGGCCCCCATACTTATAGTGGGTCCCACTCCAATTTGGTAAAATTTTCCCATTTGTAGAAAGTGTTCTGAATTTTAAAATAAACTACTCATGGGAGTTCAGAATCTTCTTTCAGAACTTTCAAATCTCCTTCCTACTGTACGAGGCAAAGTAAGGATGCCTCTAAGGCTATGACAGCTGGCTTCCTGTCTACACACAGGCACACAACCAGCTTATCCCACTACTTGAGTAGGCAAAGCATACACTTGAATAATTCCATTCTCTCCTTTTGACCCGGATTCCCTTTTCCTATTCCTTCCATTCTCCATATTAAATACTAGGCCTACAAGGTGATGGAAGAGCAGGTTGCCATAGGGAGAGTCAATTCTGTTGAGACAAAGTTAATCGCTAATTTAGTACCAAGCTCAAGAACTCTCAGGGACAGAAATGTCCTTTTTCCTAACGCGCAATTATGCCAAGCATCGACCTACCTCTTATCAGGAGCTGCCCTGGAAAGGTTCCGGTCGTGCTGCCTCTCTTTCCGCCTGTCATGACGGATTTCATCCCTTTCACGTGCTTCTCCATCCTCTGTGAACACAGTTGAAAATTAGATCATCACTGCATTAGCTAGTCATATTTTGCTTAGGAGGCCTTTAACCTTAAAAAATGCCATACTTTTCTATTTTTGAGACAGGGCATCATATGGCCAAGGCTAGCCTCAAACTCTGGATCTTCCTGCTCCCACCTCCCTGCTGCTGGGATTATGGGTGTGCACGACCACTTCTCTGTGGTCACACTCAGCCTTTAAAGGGTTACTTGCAGTCAATTTAAATCCAATCAGTTTGTGTACTCCTATGTCAGCTGCCTTCAACTTATTTGAAATGCACCCAAGAGGTGGAAAGGTGGGCATACAGGTGAAGAAGAAAATTCAGTAATGCTAATTGTTCTTTTGAGACAGGGTTCCTTTGT